TTTTTTTCTTCTTCCATTCTTTTTAAATACATTTTTGCTCTTCATTTTTTCTTCGTCGTAGAGGGAAACGAAGGAGCTTATTTGACAGAAATAATACTATGTTATAAGTAGCCGCCAAATTTGGCAGGTAAAGAAAGGGAGAAGAAAGGAGCGAAAAAAAGAGGCACTTTTCACTTCAACAAATTTTGTTCCTTTCGAATTTCTGTGTTACTGATTAGCGTCTTGTTCTATCGTTCTTTCGGTCAGCATCGACACTGACACTGCCGCCGTCAACGATGCAAATTTTCTGCCTTCAATTGTTACTGCTCTTTATTTCTTCTTGTCTTTATCTTGTTCTGGATCAGTAACGCTTGCTGGATTTTTGGATACGCTGGTCAACTTCCAAGTGATCTGTTCTATCTAACCGTTAAATCTCTGTGGCTTATTTATTTTGGGGGAGTTGATAATGTTGCTTATTGTTACAGCATAGAAAAGTTGATAATCCAAAATGGATTTGCACATAGTTATCAGTGATTTTTAAAAACATTTCTGCAATTTCAAGACTTAAGCACTTTTCAATTAATCTTTAAAAATTATTATACTCACGCTATTTATATTTAAAAGAAAAAATAAGGCTAAATAAAAGTTATATGGTTGTGTATTTTTTCTACTAATATTCCAGTGTTGAATAATTTGAAACTTTTTGTGAATGAAAACCACTAGCTTGAAAGCGTGTAAAAAAGATCATGAAAACCTAAACTGTCCTATCAGAGCGCACTGAAGTATAACTACGTTACAGCTTTTACATTTGTCTCTTTTCTTCTTTCTTGCATTCTTTTCTTGACTTAGAAGAAGGTATCTTTAGGCGTCTACCAAATTTTTTTCTTTCTTTTTTTTTCTAAAACTAAAGTTTTCTCTCCTCAAAACCAGCTATTTTTGCTGCTTTGACCCAGAATTTTTACTTTTAAAATCATTTCGCTTTGCGCAGCCAACACATATTTCGGTAAGTTTGTCTACTGCCGAACATGACATCAATAAATCTTTAGAAACTTCTAAATTCTAGGGTGAAATCAGGTGAAACTGAAAAGAAGGGTACGGAAATGATTGCATAAAAACTATCGTTGAGTAGTTTAAACAGCTCACTAGTTGACTCCTTTTGTTATTACTGTCAAAACTCCTTGCTTAATTACCATCCACTTCGTTTCTACTAAACTTTTATAACGAATAGCCGTTTGTTTTAATCTTTAAAAAGAGCAGAGAAGGACGGTATTTTAAACTTTTTTGTACGTTTTGCAGTGCACCGTAACTTGCTTATGTTCATATATTTATCTTTATAATGTTTGTTGTGATGAGGTCGGGAATGCGGTTTGCTAAAGAAAAAAAAAATGTATTTACGACTTTCATTTATCAGGCCAAGAAGTAGCTGAGGCGCTGTATTGCTTATTTAAGATCATCTCCAAACAGTGGTATATACTTTGATTTCCCAATTTTTTCTTTTAGATTTTCAGATTTCAAAAGAGGGCTGGAGTTGGTGAGGGGACTGGGGTAGAAGTTGGAGAATGCAGATATCATTAATAGACTGGGTAAAAAATAAGGTCTTTTTTAATCTTTTCTGTGAAGGTGTAAGAATAGATCTGAGACTTGGTATTAGAAGAAAAGTTTAGTTTTCTTTTCTACATGGTGACTGAAGTTGTGGAAATTTAATAATGCAGAATGGTTTAGAAAAACAAAAACGAAAAGGAAATAAGTTTTTGCTTTGTTTCTTTGTTGAGAACAAAGGCTATTGAAAAAT